CGTTGCTATGTCTTTTAACCTATGAGATGTTATGTATTTTGAATTATGGTATGTTGTTATGTCTATTGAACTATGAGATGTTGTTATGTCTTTTGAACTATGGTATGACTCAGCTATTTTACGATATGGTTAATGGAGATAGTTTTGATCGTCAATGAAGATAGTTTTGATCTCTTGTTATGTGTGTTTTGTAATGTTAGTTGTGGGCAAATATGCGTTGAATGACCATCCACAATATACAACATAATATTAACATGAGGTGGCACTTTCTCGTTCGATCGAACCGTGCATACTATCTTGATTGGTAAACTCTCAGACTCATATGATCAATCACACGACCGATGAAACAACTTGTGTGAACCCACACGACTCGTGTGAGTTGCAACACGACTCGTGTGAAATTCCCGTAGCCAAATGCATTTTTTTTCGTCCTCACATGACTCGTATAACTCAACCACACGAGTCGTGTTAGGCAACACAGCTCGTGTGAAAATCCCGTCGCCAAATTCATATTTTTTTGCTATCACACGACTCGTGTAACTCAACCACACGAGTCGTGTTAGGTAACATGACTCGTGTGAATTGCCACACGACACGTGTCAAAAAAATGAAATTAAATAGAAGTTATGATACAAAATTATATGTCATCCACTCTTTAAACGGGTATTACAAATACACAAATTAATGTATGAATATTACCTACAAAATTGTAATATTAACTCGAAATAATTTATGAATATAGATATTACCACTCATAAACAATTTCAAATTAAAAAGTATATATTTAAACTTCAATCTTTCATTAAAGTCAAGTGAATGAGAAAGAGTGTTAGGTTCCCACATATTTAAGCTTGATTGGATGTGAAACTACTTGTATTGATGGAATTGCATTAAACATATATACTTACTCCACACTTACCACTCTTCATTTATTTTTGTTAAAACAAAAAATTCAACAAATCAAATGTACTACCTAGATCAATAGTCATCACTTTACTTGCTTGGGAGAATAACATTTAATTGTAAGAATGATATGATGTAAAACTACTAACCCGTTATGGAATGCATTATGACCTCAACACAAATGTACCCATTATTAATTTATTAGACTATTAAATTGAATATTACTATTATTATTATTATAAAAATAGTATATCTTTTATTCTAAAAAAATTGTATTTTAAACAAAATATTTAATAGAAAAATGGTGAAAAAGCTACTATCTAGATCAATTGTCTTGAGTTTACTTGTTTGAGAGAACAAAATTTAATTGTAGGAATCATACGATGAGAAACAACTTCATCATTTCATTGCACTAAAAATGTCTTATATAAACCAACTTACCCTCATCAACTAACAAATAGGTTTCTATATAAAGTGGCTTAATTGTTTGTAAACCAACCACAATTCTTCACACCCTTATTTCTCTTCAAGGTAGGATGAAGATCATGGTCTAATTTATATTTTTTTTTAAAAAAAAAAAAATGTGTTAGGCGCAATTATATTGAGACAAATTTTCAAAATGTTATGCATGTTGTGCAATTTGTTTACTTAAGATTTTTTTTTTTTTTTTTTTGTGTATTGTAGTGTTCTCACAAGAATAAGAGCATGACTAACGACGACGACCTTCGCAATGTGGCAATCTAATTCTGTGGGGTGGAGTGAACAGAGGAAGAGAACCGATTCACCTACACAAACGTCTGGATGTATCCGGATGATGGCATGGTCACTGTGAACACGACTTATTGGAATAATGTTAGGGAGGTAAACTTAAGTTTTTCCTTCATACGTATATTAAATTATTTTATGATTACATTAATTAAAAGTTCATTGACTATCATTTGTATTAGAATATTCACTTGTGAGTTGTCTCACATCGTTTATATAGAGAAAATAGACCTAACTTATAAGTTTAATGGACTACTCCTCCTTCCACCAATTTGTTTTCTTTATTGAGTTATTAAAATTTTTAACTTCACTTTCGTTTTTTGTAGGAAACGCATTTCCAAAAATTCTTCCGGCCTTTTGGTTTCAAGGGGTACAATGAATGTGTGGAGTTGTTCGTCAACCGTAAAACCGCGGAGATAGACTTTGATGATGGTCCGGGAGACATGTTAGAAAATCCAATTGAGTTTACCGACTCGGTTGAGAAAGCCGAAGAACATGATGACCATGAGATTGTGCCGGGGAGCAACAAACATTCATCCAATTGACGTGAAAAATTATGAGGTTGAGAATGTGTCGGGTCGTAAGATGTACTATCGACATAGAAGATTATGAGCTTGAGATGAGCCCGGTTGTAGGAGGTACTACCCAATGGACGTGGAGTCAAAGAGGACGCCGAGATGGATGCAATTTATCATGTCATTGACAATTTCAATGGGGAAGACATGAATGAAGAACACGAGGAGTCGGACGCCGAATCGGGCATAGATTGGATTAATTTTCTAATGTGTGTGTTATGTTTACTTAGTTGCTTGCTTATATTATTATTCATGCAAAATTTTCTCCATAGTCTTATTGGGTGGCAGATATGTATGTATCGATATGACTTATTTTACGTATTAGAAATGAAGGGCCACTATGGTCAGGGGCGGACCTAGGCGGGGTCCCGTAGGGGCACGGGCCCCTGTGCAATTTTGTAGAAAAATTAGTACATATATAATTATAATGTAAAATAATAATAAAAAAATTTAAAATTTAAGTTATGATATAGGATATTATACTGGACCTGATTTAATGGATAAAACGGATATATATTGGAGGATAAGCCCACTAAGACATCTAAGCCCAACGATAGGGGTCAAGCCCAACTTGGGCCCAAAAGGTATACTCCCCCTATAAAAGGGGGCCAAGGTACCTCATATTCTCATGCTCTCTATTCATTCATGATTGCACTATCTCTCTCTTTGGA